TAGGCTGTACCAATCAAGGGAAGATTAGGCAAGAATCTTCTCAGAGCAGGGTGATAAGAACTTTGTTTTATGAAGAGAAGTTGATGAAGCTTGAGATATATGTGACTGAAGAAAGCCATTTCAGGGAAGACACAGTAGATGTTATTTAAAGGTCTCTTCAAAAGGGATTAAGCTTGCTTTCTGTGACTCTAGGGCAGAGGGATTAGTGGTGGCAGATGTTAAAGGAAGCACATTTTAGCTCATGATAAGAAAGAGCTTTGTGACAAATGATTCAGGGATGGAATTCCTAAGGTAGGGATGTAAGCAGTCCCTTAGTAACACTAATGTGCCTCTGTGAGTCATGATTCTTCTCTACACTGAGTGACCAGAACAACAGACAGAAATAAATTAGATACTGGGACCATATTAGATAAAGTATAGCTGTACCTTTAAAAAAATTTTTATTTATTAAGAGCTGTACCTTTTTAATATTGATCATAATATTAGTCAGAAAAGGCTCTTCTCATTGTACTGTGATGCTGCTTTCAGTGTATAACAGAATTCTATATAATAGAATTACAAATAGTTTATATTTAATTTTTAGAACATATCATGCTGCTAAATCATGCCTCAGAACCCCTTTGCAGTATCATGCTGTGTTCTTGTCCTGCTGTGTGGATATTGTGGGGGAATGGGGTTGATGGACTCAGACCCAGACCCCTGAGCCCACTAGGCAAGCTCTTTACCACTGAGATGCACCCCCAGCCCATTGTCCTGCTTTTGGTTCTCCAGTTTCTGAGGAGTTTAGTAATTAGCTTGGATGGTTCATGAACTTGGTTTGTGTTTAGTATAAAAAGTATGTCTGGGAGGTCTAGCAACCACGAAATTGTGAAAATGTTTAGAAAGAATGACCACTTTTTTTCTCTTAAAATTCTTCAAACTGTACTCTATGAATCATCTCCAAATACAAGCCAGTAAAAGGAAGAAAGGAGACATGAAATTTCCATTTGCCTGGTCATTTTGAATAATGAGTAGAGATTTTATATCTTTTAAAATACCTGGGTGTAACAGGATAGAAATCACTCTGTTTAGTTAAAAATAATTTTATGCACTGTTGCAGAGGAACATAGTGTTCTGTTTTGGGGCAGCTGGGGAAGGAGGTGACATATGAGGGACATTTCTGGAAGTAAGTATGTGTTTGTGGTGAGGGAGTACTTGCATTTGAGGGAACAACCTGGACAAATCTTAGAGCCCTTCAGGGACTTGACAGATGGTGAATCACTGAATACAGTTTACTGTGACTAGCGAGTACAGTGTGTGAGAGAATAAGAGGGTATTTTTAGCTTGGTGAAGCAACAGCACCAGATGAATCTATAGGAATAAATGAGATCTACACTGTAAAGAGCAACATGTAACCATTGAAGATTCTTTTGTATGTCTGGAGAGTCACAGCCAGAGCAGACAGATTTTAGTAAGAAAGTACTGGAGAACAGATTGGAAAAGGGAGATTTTACTTCATTCATCCATTCAATAAACACTTATTGTGCATCTACTGTGTGAAAGTGTTTTAGGCACTAAGCTATCTGCTGTAGTAGAGCTTGCCACTAAATATTGAGACACATAATATACCAGTAAACATAGTAAATGAATTAATCATGTAGTATGTTCAGAGCTAATGAAAAGTAAAGAAGACAAAGTAGAGTAATGGGGTTTGGGCATGTCAGGTGAAGAATGCAATTTAGATAAGTAAGATAACAACATGGGTCTGGAGAGATGATGGCTCAGCGGTTAAGAGCACTGATTGCTCTTGCAGAGGACCTGGGTTCAATTCCCAGCACCTACATTGTGGCTACAAACCATCCTTAACTCCAGTTCCAGGGGAATCCGAAGCCTTCTTCTGACCTCCAGCAGCATTGCATGACATGGGTGCACTCACATACATGCAGGCAATACACTCATACACATGAAATGAAAATAATAAAATATTTTTAAAAATAACATGTCCAGTTCAGAAGCTATTTCAGTAATTCAGGTAAAAGATGAGGACTAGGACTGGAGTTCAGCAGTTAAGAGCACAGGGTGTTCTTGAAGAGAACCAGGGCTCAGTTCCCAGCACCCACATTGGACAGCTCACAACTGCTTGTAACTCCAGTATAAAGTGATTTGACACCCTCTTCTTGCCTCTGTGGGCACCTGCACATATGGAGCATATTGTCACACACACACACACACACACACACACACACACACACAGAGAGAGAGAGAGAGAGAGAGAGAGAGAGAGAGAGAGAGAAGAACAAAAGATGAGGACTAGCCAAAGGTGAGACTTTAAAAATGAAAAAAAGAAGTATATTGGAAGACATACTTTTTTCAATTTTGAAGATTTTTATTATAGGTAGAATACAAATAAGTGACAAGTCTACAATGCATTGTTTCAAGGTGAATGACTTTGTAACATATACTCTGGAAGGAGCCCCTCCATTTGCCTCTCTAGAACTGCAAATCCCTCCCTCTCTCCCTCCCTCCTGACCACCTGATAATTATGTAGTCCCCTCCCTGAACATGTATATCCCTTAGTAGAGCTTAGCCTTGGCAATTGACTAAAAAATGATGGATTTTAGTTTTCTATAGGTTTTTTTCCTCCTTTTATGTGTGGTGGTATACATGCATGTATGTATGCATGTTCACATGTGTGGGGGTTCATGTCGGTGTGCATAGGTGCATGTGTGTGCATTTGTCTCTGGAGATCAGAGGTTGATGTTGGGTATCTTCCTCTGTCACTCTCCACCTGATATATTGAAGCAGACTCTCTCACTTGAATCTACAGCTTGTTGATTTGTCTACTCTAGTGAGCCAGTTTGCTCTAAGGATCCTGTGGCTCTGCTCCTGGGTGCCAGGAATGCAGGAGGTCCACTGTGTCTGCCCAGCATTTACATGGGTGCTGAGGATCCCAATTCTGGTCCTCACACTTGATGCTTTATTCATTGAGCCACCTGCCCAGCCCTGCTTTCTTTCTTTTTTCTAATATATTGTCAGCTGAGGAACTCTAGTTCTTAGCATTTCTTGTAGCTCCAGCTATTCTGATTGTAAACTCATGTTCCATGTTCCGCCCTTTATATGCCTTGTACATTGGCAGCTGGACCTGAGGCTTCATCAGACTCAAGTGTCATCTTTTGGGCAGAGCTATGGGCAGTAGGGTATTCTTTCACTGAGCAGCACATACTGTCCTGGTGTCTCTTGCAGTGTTACCAGCTGATTCTGTTCATTGCCTAGAATTAGTAATTCACTGGAGTTGCAAAATTGTGGTTCTAACTGTATCCGTTTTAGGTTTTAGTTGCATACTCTTATAAAGAAGCATTAAAGACAATATAAATGCCTTTTCTTTTACTTACTAGTTTTCAAGGTAACAAACTAGGTCCTCATCATCCACAAATTTGATTACCCTGTCCACATTTTTCACTTTAGTGTGACCTTGTCAGAAATGAAGCCCTGCTTGGCCAGTTCTGAGACTCTGCTCCAGTCTCTTCATATCCCACCTGCTACGCCTTGAGTTGGGCCAAGCCCCTCCCTGGTCAAAGTCCTGATCTAAAATTGGCTCACCCTTGTTCCAATGGTTGGTTGGTTATTTGGGGGCTCTCTTACTGCCACATGTCATGTACCCTGATCCCATTCCTTCTTCCTGTACAGGTGCTAATACTATAGGTTCTTGGATATTGAGTGGTCACAGTGAATGTACTTTTGATTTGTGGGAGGTATCACCTAGTTTTGTTATACATGTTTTCCTTGGAATTTTTGGTTTTGCTATTTAGTTGGTCTATTTTTATGTGGTAGTAAGACAGATTTAAAACATGCTTGGGGCTGGAGAGATGGCTCAGTGGTTAAGGGCCCTTAGTGCTCTTGCAGAAGACCTGAGTTTGGTTCCCAACACCCATGTTGGCTGGCTCACAACCACCTGCAACTCCAGCTCCAGAGGATCCAATCTCTCTGGCCTCCATGTCACCAGCACACATGTACACACACACACACACACACACACACACACACACACACGCACACACACACACACACATACACACACCCCGCATAATTTTTAAAAATAAAAATAAATCTTTAAAAATGCTTACTGCTACCAGTCTTATCTTTCCAGAAAGAGGCTGTGGAAGAGTTACAGTGTAGTTGAGAGTAACTAATTTTGAAAATAAATTAGAAATTTCTGACTTGGAAGATCTGGTGGGTGGTGATTTCAGTGATGAGACTTAAAATTAGAAGACAGGAGCAAGGTAGTAGGTGGAAAATAGGAGCAATTTTTAATTTCTTCAGTTGGAAATACGAACTATCATGGTAGTAATAGAAGTGTGCTGTTAAGATTTATACTTCTAAAATTTCATAGAGAACTGAGTCATAAATGCCAATACTTTGAGGATAATCAAAGCATCACAAGTAGGAAAAATATGCTATTTATGGTTAAAAACTTCGTTTATATTTTGGTAAAAACTGCAGTGTGAAAAACTGGTAGAATACAAATCATTCCCCTGAAGATGAAAGAGACAGTTAAAAACACTAATAAACTAGGGTTTCATGTATTTTTTCATAAATAGGCACACCACGTATATGTTGAACAGCAATCCAAAGAGGAAGGCACTGGCCAAAGACACAGTCATATGATGTACCTACCCAGTGTTTGGGTCTTTGGGGGCAGATGCCATGTGTGCAAGTACAATAAGATGTCTAAAATCTGAGTATATTCCTACTGAGACCCCAGACGAGTTATTATGTCTTCACTAGCTGGGAATTTTTCTATTTTGAGTAGATTGGCATGCTATCACAAGAGTGGGTGAGAAGGCCTTCTCTCTTGTGAGCTAGCCTGGAGAGAGGGCTAAAGTGCTATAACCTCAAAGTGCATTTAAAATACATCTGGATGTTTCTTTTTTACAGATTTTATTAACATTACATATCAACCCAACTGATTTATGTACTCTTGACTGCTGTCTTCTCCTTTTTCTTCTTTTCCAAAAAACTAGGCCTGTCTTCAGAGACCTGAGATTAGACTTGAATCACTAAAAGAAGATATTAAGGAATTCTTTAAAATATCAGGTTTGTAACTTTGCCCCTAATTCTTTAAGTATCCTCAGACTTTCAGCTACTTATTCAAAATTGATACAACTGTGGCTATTTGGAGAGGATCAGGACTCACACATTTCAATAAAACTGCAAATTTTCAGGAACACTGTAGAAATGAATGCAGTAATCAGTTTTAAATACTGTTTATTTTCATAGTGAAAAATATGTCCCAAGTGTGACAAGGATATCCCTCATTAAGTAATTTGTCTTTTCACTTCCAGTTATATCTCTTCTACATTATTTTCTATGCTTTCAAAGAAAAAAGAAAGAAAAATCTTAATTTTCTGTACAATAGGAAGAGATTCCCTGTACCAACCTTGTCACATGGGAACTTCACAGTATTCTGCTTTTGTTGGCTGGGAGTTTAGTGACTAGGTAACCAAAATGGATTGCTTGTGATGTGCCCTCTGCATGCACTGGACTACTCTGTATCCTTCCCCTTGACACAGTCTTCACACCATCAGTAGGACGTCAAAGATTTTGGCATTTGCTTAGCATTTTGACAGTGAAAAGAATTGGTTTAGTTGTTTTACTTGCATGGTATTTAGCAGTTGACAGAGTTCTTTCACAAAGAAGTATGATGCCAAAGTTTTAATAAGTTAAATTTTATTATTATATATTTATTTAAGAAACTAATATTTCTTTGGTTTTGTTTTTATTTAAAAACAGGTTGGGAGAAGAAACTTCAGAATGCTGTTTATAGTGAACTGAATGTGTGAGTTTTTCCATCTATTTTGAGATACTTTTTGTAAGTTATATTTACTTTGTAAGTAATAAAATTATTACTGAATAGAGCTGTATTATTATTTCTCCTTAGTGTGCAGATAGCATTTCAAGTAACTTGATGTTATGAGAATTACTGCAGTCTTGTCTGAGAATGAGTAGCACATAGGTGGGCTTTTCTATTCTTCCAGAGTTTGTAGATTAAGAACTTACTCATCTAGAATAATTGGTAAGAGGGCATTTCTCTTAATACAGACACTTATTATGGTTGTGGTTTGGGGTATTATACTTCTTTCTGCCATTACAGTCTGACCCTGCTAAACATAATTTCTTTTTCTTTGTAAAATTATTGTTACTAAGAACGTCGGTGTTTTTATTTATCTAAATTTATTGTCAGAGGTTATTAAAGTATATAGAACGTTTGCCCTTACAAAAATACAGATTGACAGTGTTAGCTTTTGTGGTTCATTGAAGACTCTGTTCTTCATCAGTTACTGACTGTTTCTTGTGTGTCGGAGCTAGGATAACCTCTTATGGGAGAGTGATGGAATCCAGCCAGCCTCTGCTCCCGCCTGTAGACCATCAGTGGAGGTTCAATGTCAGGTGCTTTGTTCTATCGTTATCACTTGATTAGACTCTAGCATTCTCTAGTTTCTAACCCTCCTGTTTCCCATGTTGCTGATCTACTGTACTGTTAAGTGGGAAATGAGATAACCTTGCTTAGCCAGACTGCTTCTGAGAGACTCAGATAGAGACCTGTTGACTTATGCTTTAGACACACATTTTTTCTAAATCAGATTTTTGTTTGTTGTTTATTATCATCTTCCAAGTTGTTTCTTAAATTCTTCTTTTCTAAACATCTTTTTTTTCTGGAATATATTTAAATTTTTTTATGAATATTTTTCCTTTATATGTTTTACATATTTTAAGAATATTTTTCAATATATTTATTATTTGAGAATTTCAAATATGCCTGTAGTGTGTTTTTATCTAATCCACTCTCAATTCATTACTCTTTTATATGTTTCTTCAAAATATATATAAAAGAAAAAAGATTGAATGTAACCTTCATAATGACTCTACAAAGTAGAATTTATTATGATCAACATTTTATAGAAGAGAAAACTGCTTGGCTTAGCCATCCTTTTGGTGTTAAAATCCAACATTGACATCTACAAAGGTCACACTCAAGAACCACATAATCAAGTTACACACAGAACCCTCTAGTAATCCTGTAATATTCTAAGTAGGTTTATAGTTTTGTCTTGGGCCACATCCATAAGTCTCCTTGGGCACATGTGGTCCATGGGCTACAAGTTAGACATGCCTAGACATTGTCTTAGTCTATTTTGTGCTGCTGTAAAAGAATACCCAGCAATTCTTTAAGTAATTTGCGTGTCCTCTCCAAAGTTCATGATGGAATTTAATTGCAATTGTAACAAATACCAAGTGAGACCTTTAAGATTTAGGCCACAAGAGCTCCTACAGATGGGGCTCGTGATGTTGTAAAAAGCTGAACTTGGTTCAAACCAGACAAAATTCCAGCATAGACATGAGGAATTGGGTAAAAAACCCCAACCCAACCTAAGGAACTTTTGGCAACTGAAGGCTGTTGGGAACAGGCCAAACAGAGACAGTCTCATTCAAGGATGGGTCTCTTGGTAGGTTAATCAGGCTCCAGTCAATGGACACACACTGAAGGGCATTTGGGTGTACAAATTAGACTCCATAGACCATATATATGTACATTAAATTTGGTGGAGGCAATAAAGGGAGGTGCAAGGTATGGATGGGGAGGGATATAAATACTATCCAATTATATTGCATGAAAATTGTAAAAATTGAATAAAAAAACCTCAGAGCTTGGCCCTGTTTGCTCAGTATGTCCTCTCCCTTTCTATAATGGGATGATACAACAAGAAGGCTTGCAACAGATGCTGACACATGGATATTTGACTTCCCGACTCCAGAACTGTGAGGCACTGTGGATCTGTTCTTTATAAATTGCCCATTCATGGATGTGGTCCTATAATCCTAGAACTCAGAAGACAGAGGCAGGAAGATCACAGCAAGTTCCAGGCTGGCCCAGTTTACATAGCTAGTTCCAGGTCTGTCAAGGCTACATAGTGAGAACTTAGGTCAAAAACAAAGCAAAAATAACAACAAAAACAAAAACCCATTGCTAGAACGGTATGAATTAATAAATTTTTATTAGACTTTTGTGTCTATATATATGTATGGAATTACTAACAAATACTATTTCATTTATAATGTGAACTCCAGAAGTAAGTAACTTGACCAAGAGAAGTCATTATCAAGAGTTGTACATATTACTTAGCTGCCTCCTTCTGCTTCTAGGTATCCTTTACCTAATCATCCTGCTGTACCTCCTGAGCATCTTAAGGAGCCTTTGGTGTACATGAGGAAAGCACAGGTTGGCCATTGTTCATTACCATTTTATTTTTCCATGCCAAGTAATGTAGAGTAAGATTCTTATTGGTAGCAGGGGTATATATTATTCATTATATGAAAGATTGAGTAAGAACAACTTTAATGATATTAATAATCTTGCATACTCTTCCTTTTTATTTTGAGTAATCAAGGTTCATACCTATTTAACTATAAGGAAAACATTAAATAGAAAGAAAAAAAAGGCATTGTCCCACACCAGCTGTTCTTTGTCGCCTGTAGTGTTAAAGGAATGAAACCAAAATGAATTGACACCTTTAAAAAAAAAAAAAACCTTGGCCTTTGGCCTTTGAAGGCAGTGTTGCAGATACAGACTTAAAATATATTCGCTCTTACCTTAGGCTCTCACTGCTAATTGCCTGGCAACAATGAAGAAGCAGTTTTAAAAGATGAAGTAAGTTAAGCAGGAAGGCAACTTCATTAAAATATGAAGTCAGTGAGCCTCATCACATGCTCCCAGCTTTTGTAGCTGTCCTTCACTGAGGCACTTCCATCAGCCTTCCTCTGAGTGCTGGGTGGGGGTGTGGGGGTATCACAGTCAGAGCTGGCCTCCCTCTCCAGGATGACCTCACAACAGATTACATTTTTTTTATTATAAAAAATGTCACTCATGCTCTAAACAATGCCTATGAACTCGTCATTTAGCTTCCGCAGTTAGGGTTCTACTACTCCTGACAATGTTTTGCTGTGCTGAGTTGCGGAGTCCCTAGTTGTGCGTGTGAGGCAGATTCTTATTGTTTCATTTGTTTTCACTTGCAACCTCCTGGAAATTAAATGATGAAATAAGACAACATAACAGGAACTGTAGAGATTTTGAGGAAATATTATATTTGTATCTCTAGGTGATAGCTCCTAGGGCTAGATAATATTTATTTTTAATTTTTTGAGGATTTTATCTGTACCATATTTACATAATTTTCACTCCCTCCTCTTTCCCCTCTGACTCTTCTCATGACCCCCCCCAAATTTCATGACATCTTTAATTATTATTGTTACCTATAAATACATATGTAGTGCATGCCATATATATCACACACACACACACAAAACCCATGAGTCCATTTAGTGCTTCTCATATACATGTAGGGCTGAGCACTTAGGATTGGATAACCTATCAGGGAGCTCCTGTCTGGAAAAAACTGATTATTGTTTGAGCAGCCATTGATTGGTTGTCTGGAGCTCTTCACCTAAAGGTGGGACCTTGTGAGATTTCCCCCATCCATATCTAAAAGCATAATAGTTAAATGTATGATAGAATTGTATGAATTTTTGTTGGAAAGGTTTACACTGAAAAAAAAAAAAGAAAAAGAAGCTAGGGTCTAAATAGTTTTTGAAAAAAAATATTTTTGAACAGGGTCTCGCTATGTAGCCCTGGCTAGTCCAGAACACGTTATATAGACCAGAGTGGCCCCAAACTCTGAGGCCTACCTGCCTCTGCCTCTCGAGATGTGTGGCACCAGTCTCAGGGAAAATTTTTAACAAGTGTAGAAAAATAATCAGTTTTAGCACATTAAATCTAAGAAACAAAACACAAAATTTGGTTTTCTGTCATAACTGAAAAAATAGGCAAATAGTGACATCATTTGTAAAGTCGACTGTCAGAGGCTGACACTGCATGTGCATGGTACACATACGTTCTGTATATGGATGGCATTCCACTTTTTAATTTCAGATTCAGGAGCTGACAAACTATAACCTCTCAGCTAAACGCAACCTGACACCTGTCTTTATAGGACTAGCAAACAAGAGTTTTAAAACACACTTTTTAAAAATACTTTTAACTAGTTGCAAATGAAAATAAAAATTAATATTAAAAAATAGTACTGTGTGCAGCAGCAGGCTGACCACAACTGAAGACTAGCAAGGCAAACACTTGGGGTTGTGGAACAGCATGAATTCAAATGGTGCAATCACACCCTTGGGAGTCTGACAGCTTCCTGTGAGAATAAGCATATGTATATACTGTGTGACTCACAAACTCCATTCCTATGTTTTACCGACAATAGTGAAAAACAAGTAAGTACGCACAAAAAGAACTCAGAGAAGAATATTCCTAATAACCTTATTCCTGTACACCCCAAACTGAAAGTAGCCCTGCTGTCCATCAGTGAATTAACAAGCTATGTCCTTTACATAATTCAACTGTTATTCAGAAATAAAGAGAAAAAAACTATTGATACACATAATATTAATAAATCCCAAACATTATATTGAGTAAAATAAACTGTATATAAAGAGTGTATGCTGTATTATCCCATGGATAAGTTTTAGAATGCGGAAAGTTAATTTATGTAGAAACTTTTCAGAATAACAATTGCCTCTGTAAGTTTGAGGGTTGAGATTTGTGGGCGAAGTATGAGGGAATTTGCTGTGGATGTTGGTCATGTTCCTCACCTTGGTTATGGATTAGGTTGTAGGTTATATGTATTTGCTTGACCTCATCAAATGACACTCCTAGATTTATACATTTTATTTTATGTAACTTTTACCTAAAATGAACCACAAAATACTGAACTCTGGTTAAGTATGCATATTGATTGAAGTATTTGGAGGATGGGCAGTATACGGAGGCTTGCAACTTATTTCAAAATACATATAAAAATAAGATAATTAGGTGGAAAGAGAGATGGGTAGATGGTTAGCTACATACTCAAGTAAAAGTTTTAATGACAGAATTTAGGTGGTATGTATTTGGCCGCCAAACTGAATTGTTTTTTACCTTTTATGTACATTTGAAATTTTTATGATCTATAAGCAGTAAGAAAAATAAGTTAATAAATTAATAATAGGACTATCTTGTGGCATAGAAAAATGATAGGAATTAATAAAATATATTTTGTTGGAAATAGTTATGCTTAATCATTTACATTATCCATGACTCTTTTTGCACTGTAAGATGAGAGTTAAGTAGTTGCAATAGAGACCTTGTGACCCACAGAGCCTAAAATATTTACTATCTGTCTTTTTCCAGAAGATCTACCAACCTCTGCTCTAAATTGTTAGTCTTAAGAGCAGTGACTGTGATTTTTTTCCTCAGCACCCAGCATAGCACCTAGCTGTAGTAGTTACTTTTTGTTGCTTTCATAAAACACTATGATCAGGGGCTGGAGAGATGGCTCAGTGGTCAAGAACACTGACTGTTCTTGCAGAAGACCTGAATTCAAATCCCAGCACCCACATGGCAGCTAACAACTGTCTGTAACTCCAGTTCCAGGGGATTCGACAGCCTCTTCTCTTCTCCACGGGCATTGCATGACATGGGTGCACTTACCTACGTGCAGGCAATACATGCATACACATAAAATAAAAATTAAAAAAAAACCAACAACCCACTATGACCAAAAATAACTTATGGAAGAAAGAGTTTATTTTGGCTTATGGTTGCAGAGGGAAGGCCTTGCAGTAGGCAGCCAGAACAGAGCAGGAAGCTGAGCAGTTACATCTTTAATCACAAACTCAAAACAGAGATAACTAGCTGGAAGTGCAGCAAGACTATAAATTCCCAAAGCCCAGCTCCAGTGACATACTTCCTCCATGAAGGCCACCTCCTAAAGGTTCCATAACCTACCCAAACAGTACCACAAGCTTGGGACCAAGTATTTAAATGTATGAGCCTGCCTATGTGGGACATTTCTCATTCAAACCACCACATTCCTATCCCTGGCTCCCATGGAGTCATGGCCATTTCATAATGTAGAATGCATTTAGTTCAACTTTAAAAGTCCTCATAAGTCTTTAACAGTCCCAACACTGTTCAAAAATACAAAGTCTTCTGGGACTCAAGGCAATCTCTTAACTGTGACCACCTCTAAAATAAAAGTGCAGATCACATACTTTCAATGTACTGTGGCATAGACTGTACTAATTCCCATTTCAGAAGGGAGGACAGAAGCATAGTGAAGAAATACTAGAGCACAGCAAAACTGAAATGTAGCAGGGCAAATACTAAATCTTGTCACTCCATGTCCAGTGTCTTCGACTTTACTTTCAAAGGGCTTAAATAGCTCCACCGCTCCAGCTTTGTTGCCTGCAACATACATCTCTTTCTTAGGTTGGTTTTACTCCCTGTATGAAGCTGTCCTTGGCAGATGTCTCATGGCTCTGGCATCTCCAACATCTTACAATCTCCACTGCAACCCAGGCTTCACCATCACAGCTTCACACAGTGTTATCTCATGGCCTCGAAGGAACTTCAGGACTGCCACACATGGCCTGGCTTCAATGGCTCTCTGAAACCACAGAGGAAGAATTCTGAACCCCCTTACTCTTACATCTTTCATGCATCCAAAGCCAGTACCACATGGGTGACACTGCCAAGTTCCACTGCTAGCTTAGGCTGGACCCTTGCTCCTATGAATCATATTTGTAGCAGCTTTTGTATGCAGCTACTTTCTAGGAGCAGAAAATTCCATATGTTCTTTTTTACAAGTTGGAAGCTTAGCTGGATGGGGTCTTACCCTCAGGGCACCTTCTTTATTGTTCCAATGCAGAATAGGAGACTTCTCCTTAATGGCACTAATCAACTATTGCAGCCTCTCTTTCTGCACATACCTGAACTATATCATTAAGCTTTCTAGTGCTTTTTTTCTCTCCAAACTGTACATTTTATATTTCTGATTGTAGACCTGTGTGAGTAATCACTAATAACCATTTTACATACTCAGTTTATTTGTCTTGAAATTTCCTCCACCGAAGAAATTAGTACATTGCTTTTCAATTTAGCCTCACCTAAATTATCAGGACATGGGCAGAAAACAGCTCAATTCTTTGCTAAAATATCACATAAATGGATTATAGCCCAGTTGCCAAGAGAGACGTTGTTCCCCTCTGAAACTTGAGCCAGGCTTCTATCATTTGCCTCACTTTCAGCACTACTGTCTTCCAAGCTCCTAGTAGAACAGCTTGTTAATCTCTTTTTACAGCATTTAATTGCTTTTCTGGTCCCAAATCCCAAGGTCTTTCACA